AGTTCTCCTTTACGGTGATACTGATGCCAATCCATACGACCGCTTTTCATAACTGCATCTCAGTTCGTACCTAATACCCAGCCGAGCCACCGACAGCACTCAAGACATCCACTTGTGAAGGTGACAATGTCAGCAGATCTGGCTTGACATCAGGTGTGACATCAGGACCTACAAAAGTATTGGGAGTGAGCAATACTTAAAATGGTCCTAAGGTCAACAGTTCTGTTAGCACGGGAAATGGAAGATGAAAACATAAATATTGACATGTCTTGAAGAGGGTCGGGCAGGCATTATTTATAGTTGGGTTAATTTTTAGCCCAGCCAGGTCTTAAAGTCCAGCCCTTTTAACTTCTTGTATGAGCCCGCTTTTATAAAATTAATCATAGAGGCTAAACTTTCTTTCCCTTCATTTTCATGGCAACCACGGGACACTCCTTTAACTCCTTTTTTCTGATCTATCAGGAAATACTCAGAGGTGGGTGATAAGGGGGGGGGGGGGCTGGAAAAGGGAGGTCTGCGGTTTTAGTAGTAAGAAGAATCGCTAGGACTGCATTGCTGTGCAGATATGCTGAGATATGCGGCTGTGCCAGCATGCTGCAGGCCACCAATACCTTCATTATCATAATTGTGATATTCTTACGGTTAGATGATAAGGTGTCCATAGAATACTCCTGTTCGGTGATTGGACATGGTGTTGAATATCGTAAAAACGTTAGTTGAATTTGCTAAAGAAATACGTAAGTTTTTACATGTAAATATAACATAAAATCAAACAAAGATTCAATCTTGAAGCGTCCAACACTAGTATGTACGATGACAATAACACAGCGACATTTCAGGAAGCTCTCATCATCTTCCTTCAAAACATCATAATTCCTATAATTGTACGATGACAATAACAGCCAAATTTCAGGAAGCTCTCATCATCTTCCTTCAAAACATCATAATTCCTATAATGACGACAGACGTCCGTCTGTCACCCTGGCAGCACGATACTGACGCACCAAGGCCATTCCGATGAATTACAAACGTTTGCTTCTTTTCACGTGGAGTGTGCGCAGGAAGCTACGCGCGTGCGCCGCCCTTGGTGCGATAGCCATGTTGCACTCGGTGGAAAACTTCTCCCAGCCGGACGCAATGACAAAACTATTGACATAATCACATCAATAGCGCTCAACACCCACCGCCTTACTTTAAGAGTTGTACCAGAAGTTGTTTGTCTGTTTGGGGCTGTAGAGATTCCGTTAATGAATATACTATAACAAATTTGGGAAAGTACTTGCTGTCATATTCTGCATTTGAACCCCCCCCCCCCCTCCCCTTCTCGATCGATCAATACGCACGATAGAACCATTCTGGAGGACAATACAGACGCACTTCACACGCACTGCGGTAAGACGCTAGCAATCGAAGAAGCAAAGCAGTGTCTTTTCAGAAAACCATACGCCCATTTATTTACTTACATGCCTTTAAGCGTGATTTCTACAATTCACTGGGCGCAATGGAGCTGGTTTTTTCCACGTTCTGCCAAAACGACAAGTTTTCACACTCAAGTTTAAAAGACCGTGGCTATAATGTGAGCATGAAACTAATAGCAAAACGCCTTTCCGCAATTACAGCAGTCTAAACGATCCTCATCGGTGGTGAAACAAACGTGCCCTACAAGAATGTTCCTTCGACTGAAGGACTTCCCGCGGACATTACAACTGCAAACCGTGGTCGCCATGATCTCATCTGGTCTGGTTATTCAGTCACCATTTTAGCCATATAAACGCGGGATGGAGAGCTCAGCCGTAATTACGGTCTCGGACACATGAGCGAGAGCTACTTTCAATTTGTACATAAATCGTCCAGGGCCAAGGTCAAATGGAGATGACCTTGGTGGTGAATAAGCGCTTGGATCGATTTTCGCGTTGTTTTCGACAGTTCAAAAATGCCGACAGTGCAACGACAGTGCAACAGTGCATGGACAGTGCAACGAGACAACCGTCAACCACCGACCGCCAGTCACGTGGTCGTCGATTTGCATGTTGAAACTGGTAAGCCGGTTGAAACTGAAATTGTGAAACTGTGAAACTGTTGAAACTGGTTTCCGCCGCCTGGTCAACCGCGCCGACTGGGCAGACCCGAGCCCCCGCCGCCCACCGCGGCGGGGCCCAGGCCCACTGGCCAGGGGCGACATGCGTTGTGATGTCTATCAAACCAAGCCATGACTGATCCAACTGTTACAGGTAAATTGTCTTGAAACTTGGTTCAGCCACCATCCAAAGTCGCATCTAAGACAACCTGTCAGATGTTTCATCACTTTGAGCCTGAGACCAACAAATGTTAAACACGCGCTCGGGTGGGGGGGGGGGGGGGGGGGGGGGTAAAATTGATCCGCGAAAGTGTTCCCAGAATTGTTTCCAAACACGGCATAGCTGAAGACAATTCAAAAGCGCATCGTCTGACATCAAAAATTTAGATGTACCTTGAAAGGTCGCTGACCTATGGCAGGTTAACGGCAGGCCATGGTTTCAGCGAAGGCACGTCCTAGGGAATCGTTCAGTCCGATCAAACAACAGGGTGTCAGACGAGGCCATACATCTGTGATACTTTCGTAGGCAACACAACAACTGATTACACAAACAGAGTTGACCTACGGTCAGGTATGAAGGTCAGACCAAGGTGAAAACCAACCTGTTTTATTACTCTCGGGTTTGCTGTATAGACTGGTTTCTGGTGCTCATTTCAAACACATCGATAGCAGGAACCGCATCATACACCTTCCATGGACTTCCTACAGGTCAGAATATGTCAGTGACCTAAAATGACCAAGGTTAATATTTTGTTGTTAGGAACATGCTGCCTGGCGTAATTTTTGTCGCTGATCCAAATGCAGAACTCAACAGTCTTGTACCGTTTCGGTCATCATGACCTTTAAAAGGCAAACAAGGTCATTAACCTTATCTGCGCGTGTGATATTTTGCTTAGAACAGTTGCCTAGGTTCTACGGGCCCTTTGGAGAAAAATTTATAATTTGACCTTGTTTGACCTTACCTGACCCGAAGGTCATGACCTACAAACATCAAACTTTGGCCTGGGAGAGTTCACGTACAGGTCAACACAATCTGTGAATTTGGCGTCTCTAGCTGTCTTAGTTCCCAAGATTTCAAGGGGGGGGGGGGCAAACTGATCCCCATCGAAGCGAAGGGTATCCAACCGGCCACCCGGGCGCGTGTTGATATATTTCAATCAAAATTTTTGTTATTTGACATGCCAATATTTCAATGCGCAATATTGAAACAACACAACGACACCCGGGCGCGTGCTAAGATACTTCGATCAAAATTTCTGTTATTTGACATGCCAATATTTCAATGCGCGGTATTGAAAAAAAAAAACACGACAAATCATAAGGATTATAGACTAACTCGCTCACATTTCCGTTTAACGATATAAAATATGTTCTTTCGTTCGGCTTCTGTGCCAATTTGTCAACGGCTACGTGTTTGCCGAAAAATTGGCAAACATGACATCCCTCAGACGTCACTCCGGTTGATTCATTATGATCTCATAGCTATCATTTTCCCACAAGGCGAAGACCTCATCAATTAAGATCTCCAAAAATTTAGCGGGCGATTTTTCGAGGCGTTTTCGAATAAACCGTAAAAAGGTGTTATGTCTGGACGTTGATAACCCATACCAACAGGTGATGACATCTTGTGACCACCACTAGAGGCCTGCACACCTCTGATGTAAGGTAATGTAAAGAAGCACACGCATCAATTTTCAATTTCCAAAAATCAGTGTGCAGTTATCTGTGACTCCAGCACAAAACTTACCTAGAACTGATGGCCTGTGGATTGTTGGCATTGCGAAACCACACATGAACTGGGTAGTATCCGTAGTATCCCTAGTATCAGCATCTCCACCATGCGGCAGTGACTGGTAGCTCCCAGTCAGCACTTCATATGGTCTGCAACATGCACGCGATTCATGGCATTGTCGTCGAACAGACATTTGTGATGTTGGCGATTTATTCTGTGATTTATTCAGCGTTTTATTCAGTACAGGAGTACGACTACTCTGGAAGCACGTCAGGTGGTCAATTATGGCAAAAGTGCATCGCAATTCACGCATTCTTTGCAATATCGGGCGCCCTTTAACCCTAAATTCCATGCCAATTCACGGGGAATTAAGCATCACCCAAGGATTACGGGATGATTTCGACTTTTTCAGCATCATAATATTTACCAACGCCTTTCAAGAAATAGCGTCAGGCAAAAAAATCCTGACCTATAAAGGTCACCCTGCGAGGTCAAACTCACTCAAATCGCGGCAAACTTCATTTCACCAAAAATGTTCGGTCGCTTTGAACTTTTCAAGCAACGGAATGCTCACAAGTGCAAGAACCAGGGTCTATCAAAGTCATCAAAACTCAACGTCACCTTTTAAGGTCAAATTCGCGCTCAAAAGACCGGGAATTACATATCACCAAAATAATAACGGTCGGCATCAATTCTTAAACAATTCAAAACATCGATCAAAGAAAAATCACTTGTCAGCAAAAAAAAAAGAAGAAAACCTACGATCACCTTTCACGGTAAAATGAAGACTCACAGAGCGGAACACTAATATCAACAATACAAAATTTCAACTTTTCAAGCTTCATAACATTCACAACGCACGCAATGGCGTTCGTAACAAAACCCTGATCTCTCAAGATCACCATTTAGGTCAAGTTAAAGCTCAAATGGTTGTGAGCTACATCCACCAAAAAAATACCGGTCAATTTTCATTTTCAAGCACCAGAACAATCCGGAGTGGTTGGAGTGAACAATGATTGAGAGTCAATTGACGGCCGTTGTCTGGAAGTGGCGCTCACGAACGCCAGATGTGAACGCCTCGGCACTTACACTTTATTGGCCTTTATCGGCACACGACTTTAGAAATGACAGGATTTGAGCGACGCTATTGGGGCATCATAAATGCCAAGGTGACTTTAAAATACCCTCTCTGAAATATTCTCACACATTTTTGCAGGTGCGTGGCTCAGAAATTACAAGGGTTTAAGGCCTTTCAGACGTCTATTTGACTTCAAAACTCCACATTTTTTTTAGAACTTCCTTTAAGCGCTATTGATCATTCTGGTGCTTAAAAGTCCGAAATCACCTGGTAATTTGAAAGTCACAACGAGCCTCCTGACGTTTGAGCGTTAATTTGACCATGAAAAAGTCCTGAGCGTTGGGTCCTTTGAATGGACAAAGGGCCTTGAGCTGTTAAGTAGCCCAATACTTAAAAACAGCTGCCATCAAATTCTGAATTTTCAAGCATTAGAATGTGCATCAGAGCAGCGAACGGCGTCACCCAGTCATTTTCGGTGTTCTTGTCCCATATCTGATCACCAGACCCGTTTTCAGTGAAAATGAGAACTTGTCACTGAAAAATGAGCTGAAAAAAATCGCCAACTTCACGGACATGCACAATATGCACACATTGTTTCTGGTTCAGCAATCAGGTGTTTGCAGTCCTCAGTTTTTTCTGTTTTTTTCTGTTTCTCTGTTTTTGCATTACATTGAAATCGTGGTTTGATCCGACATTTGATCCAACATCCAACATTTTCACCATTGCCACTTTTCAAAAGGGAATAAACAGAACAAGGAGCAGTATGATTTTTACTCACTTAAAGATTTCCTGGCTTTTGAATCCTGGAAAGTCATATGGTGGCGAAGGAGGACGATCACAAAGGTGTGTTGCTTTTTGGGCATTTGGAGGCGGGTAGCACTGCTTCTCTGTGATGCAGTCTCCTGTGGAAAAGCAACCATTTTGAGAGTAATTGGGGGGCAATGAACATGTGGTGAGCCAATAAGCCATGCTTACCTTCACATACCATACATTTCTCATAAGCATCCTTATTTTCAGAGACCCTGCTTGGTGCAATGCTGAAATATTTTGAAGCACTTTATGGGCATGGTACATTTTGCATTTGATGTCACCTATCTGTTGGTCTGCAAACATCTTTCCTTGTATGGTCATCATACATACATGGGAATTCTCTGGCATACATAAATGCACTGGAGGAGAATCATGAGTAAGAAGACACAAACAACATGCCATCATTGCAAAATGTTTTGGGTGTATGCAGTGCATTGATATACTCTCAGGTAGATGGAACTGAAAGCATCAATAATACCAGTGTTGACTGCAGTTCAATGATATCTTGCTTGCCTGAATTACATATCTTAAAAGCACATCATATAAAACTAAGATTTACACCCTGGACAAAAGCAATGCATCATTATTTTCTAAGAATCAGTTTTTCAAATTTCAAAATATTCTTACAGCAAATCTCCAGACACATACCTAACAGTGTGAAGTATTCCACACAAAATATCTGGCACAAAAGTACAACACACCTTTAGACACATGGATGCTGGCAATGGTGTGAGCACCACTGAGCATCTCTTGATCTGACTGGTGCCTGTATACTGGCCTGTATGCTGGGCATGCTTCTTCAAGCGTGGCTTGCTCAGGTCCTCGGAGCCAGCCATTCCCTTGAACTCTTGTTGATCAGTGCCTAACTTCAAAACTTTTCAACCATAGCTGGATCAAGCAGACAATTTGTCAATATTCCATTCAACCACTCAGTTCACAGTGGCATACCCATGTGCACCTCCACACACAAGAGGCACAAAGAAGTATCTTTTATTTAAAGTCCAACCAACATAATTGCCAGAGCTGGCTTTTGTGAATGCAAACTTATACACCTCATAGTGATGGAACATAACCATAAGCACTGGGACAAAAGGAAGCAGAAGCCATTCTACATAGTGTTATGCTGAGAAAAATGTAACTACATGAAAGATGCACTGATAATGGCTGCTGTGAAGTCCTTCAGCATTTGGCCACTTCGGTGGGAGATGTGTCAAGTACTTTCTTCATGTTGTTACACTCCTGACTTGAGGTTTACTGCCTGTAGACACTGCCTCTCGGTCAGGGTGTACTTTCCTACCTCATGTTACAAAAGAGCATTGTACATCAATCGTTGTTTTCAAGGCAGAACATATCATAATTAATCGTAAAACAGATCATCTATACTCTTACCTTGGAACTTAACCAATTACGACACCGAACATCCAACCGCCGCAAACACACAGCATCCGCGACACCGGCGCCATTACTGTGCGCGGTCACATTACTGCGCATCAAGCAGCATCAAGAACCATAAAAATGTACGGGGCCAAGGTAAAAAGAATCACAGCACCTCGGCGAAAGAACTCAGTCATATCTTCGAAGCACCAGACGGACTGAAAACTACACCCACAGATCACCACTTTTTTGCATGAAGGCTGCCGCTATCCGCGGAATTTACCCCAATCGAGGCTTTCGAGCTTTTGGGCCCCAGTAGGCACTTAGACTGGGCTCCGGTCCGGGTGATCGCATGACAGGAAAAAATGATCGCCTCAGGGTAGCCTAGGACGGTGAACCGAAGCTAGCGCGTGTACATCTCTCACTTACCTGGCTGAGGTATCTTTGAGGAACGGTCGGGTATAACAGCGCAGGAAGCTAAGGTCCTCAAGCTCCTCGGCCGGGGCTCCCGACCAAAACATGGCCAGGCTCATTCACGCGGCTCCACCTAACAGGAACAGTCAAGTCAATGCACACTGAGGCCAGGCCACTTACCAGAGTTCGGCTCATCACAAGCCTTCACAGAGCGTTAAAGACATGGTCAGATTTAACAGAAACAGATTTCTCTTTTGTTTAACATGAACATATTTATGTTCAAATCGAGCTGAATCATGACTCGGCTGACGAGTCAATCGCTTTGTGGAGCTGCGTCGATCACCAGGAAAAAAATCGCTTTGAGTTATGAACAGAATCACATGCCTCGTAAGTTGCATGGATTGAATCAAGAGCCGATCTAACAACGTTGCGTCAGTGAGCCCTATCGCCCGTACAAAAATGGTAGCACGAGGGAGCACGGCACACCCCAGATAAATTGCTAAAAGACAGTTTAAAATTTTAAAAAGAGCGGCATCCAACATTCCTTATAAAGCTTTTTGGCAACCTTAGCTTTAAGTTTGCTAGTGCAGTTTCTAAACAACAACCACAATATTGCTGATCCGAAACGAAAGCTTGCCATATTTCAGCCATGAATCAGAGGCGTGTATATAAAAGCTAGATATATGCATATACATATAAGCTATATATATATATATATACATATATATATATATATATATATATATATATATATATATATCAATATCCCTTCCTAATTAAGCCAGTTTGAAATTAGACGTAATAGATGTAGTAAATTAATACTCAAAGTCAACGCTGTTATCGTTGCCACCGTTTCACCCTTACAACGTCGCAGAACGCGTTCATTTGGCTACACCGCTGCTCGTAGATCGTGCAAATTTACGTGCATTCATGGTCATCATGGCGCCTTACATGACATGTCAGATCGCTTAGGCACGTTTACTAGAATTACTAGCATTTCCACTAGGGTAGCGATTCACACTTCCACAAGTACTTAAGAACATTGACACGGCGTTCGCATCCGCATCACTGCTAGATGTTGCGCAGGTGAAACACTGGATGCATCACGGCTATACCGTGATTTATTTTGCCACCTCACCGTTACAGGTCACCACCAGAAACCAGGTGACCAAAGCTAACTATGAGTGCACTCATGTCGTTTCAGCCTGTCTCATTAAGTAATCGATCACTTACGCTGTGCAGTGGTAGCAGAAACGATACTGCTACGCCAACTTTACGGCAGGTTTTATGTTTTATTTCTTGCGAAACACGCAAACGGATTCCACACGCGCTGCGCCCACCGCGGACATTCAGAGCAGAATGTACACAAAGTAGCCTTGACACGCGATCGGGCGGGGGTCAAATTGACCCCCCCCCCCCCGAAGGCTTTCCAGAATGGTTTCCGAACGGCGCGGCGTAGCCGCGCCAAATTTTGCATGGCTGTAGACAATTGAATAGTAGATCGTTCGGTACAAAATGTATAATTTCGGGCGAATGAGAAGAATCCGGAGAAGGTCCCTGATTAACAGGGGCGCCTCGGCAAGCTAGCAGGAAGAACCTAGTAACAGTGCAGGACCCTCCGAGCAAATGCAAAAAATTAGGTGCAACGCGGAAGGCTTTTGAACGACTGCATTGACCTTGCCAGCGGGCATATATTCTTACCCGGAAACAGCGTAGGAGCCTTTGAACAACCTACTGAGCCTCAAAATCTCCCAACGATCACCCTCTCAATTAGTAAATTATTATTTTTGTCTGCTCGTGGGCCATTCACTTTCGCCTGCGACTGTTCTTGGTCGCCTCGGAGTACAAAAACAAACAATTTTGTTGTATTTTGTGCTAAAAGACTGCGTCTGGTCGGCCGGCTTTGGACGGCTTCGGCTTGGACGGCCCTATGGACTCCTACGGCACCCAAGGGGGAGCATGACGCCGTGCCACCTCCCCCCCCCCCCTCCGGATCCCCCTGGTTTTGCGAATTAGGAAAAGCTGGTACCAGAAACCTAGAGCTGTTCCCAATAATATCTGATATGTTCAGTACATATCTGACTTCCAATACATGTCTGATATAGTCAAGTTTGGATATTTGAAAGTGCCCTTGAATAAATGTCCTGAGAAAAAACCGAGAGCGTTAATTTCAGGCATATTTTTGCGTTTAAGGTTTCCGAAATGTTCTAGATGCACTCGAAGTTGCAGGTGTTTCAAGTGGTTCATGGTGGATCATATGCTGAAGCATGTTAGGTAATGCAGAACCATAGCTTAGGGATAAGACCTGCCCCATTTGGTGCCAGATTCAGGATGTCTTTATGCTTAAGATCTCGCTGACATCTTTGCCATGGCTTGTAGAGTGGTCGAGTGCTTGGAAGCAATTACACTCGGTAGATTGAGATGGTTTTTCATAAAAAGAAAGCCATATGCATTCTTTGGTAAGCCATTTCGGTACAATGTGGATACCCGGAGCATGTGACATCAACATACCATTGGGGTGTTGCGTATATGAGGAAGAGGGTGGTCTGCCACACGCTTTTTCAGTGGCATAAATAACAGGAAACCCTCGGAACCATTCGATTCTGTAGTAGTATCATAGGGTTATTGACTGACATAATCAGGAAATGCAGTTTGATTCCCCAACAAGGCCATGATACAGTTATTACAAGTTTGCCATACAAGGTGATGAGGAGCGTGCCAACTGTCTGAATGTGTGTTTTGCTCGTAAGTTTTTCGACCCTGACGTTCGTATATTGCCTGACCCACCTCTACTCGATGCGCCTGGACTAGACAGCTTTGCCGTACCACATGGCCGTATAGCACGTTTGTTACGCAATATCAGTACACACAAGGTCTGTGGTCCTGACGGGCTCAGTGCCCGGATTCTCAGGGAAATGTGCCGAGGAGCTAGCTGTTCCGGTAGAAATAATATGCAAGCTTTCTGTGGACACTGGCGTCTTCCCCGCCATGTGGAAGCAAGCGATTGAGATACCGGTGCATAAGAAGGGGTCCACGTGAACATTCTTTTGATGAATTTATGTACGACTTTGTGTGATGTGTATGTGTGTGTTTGTGTGTGTGTGTGTGTGTGCGTGTGTGTGCGTGTGTGTGTGTGTGTGTGTGTGTGTGTGTGTGTGTGTGTGTGTGCGTGTGTGTGTGTGTGTGTGTGTGTGTGTGTGTGTGTGTGTGTGTGTGTGTGTGTGTGTGTGTGTGTGTGTGTGTGTGTGTGTGTGTGTGTGTGCGTGTGTGTGTGTGTGTGTGTTTGATTAGGTTTTTGTTTGTGTGTGTATCGTAAATTTATTGGTTTCAAAACTCGACTACTTCCGTAATTGGGCTTTCGCCTGTGGAATGCTTATGTCCCAAATAAACATTAAACAATAAACGAAATCTAGGATGTACTTGAATATAAAAATCAACGAGCTGCACACATGAGATCTGGCTTGCTTTTTCTGGGTACAAGTCATAGTAACCCTCGACTTGGTAAGGGGAGGAGGTGACCCAACATCCTTGTAAGATTTTTTGAAGGATATCTTGCAATTGCTTCCAAACATTTTGCAGTCTACGGGACGTCCATTGCCCGTGTTTTGCCACAAGAAACGTGCTCGTGGCTTTATGGTTTCGGGGCAGTGGCGGTTTGTGCGGAACACTGCACGGCGACCTACGGGCGGCGTGGGCGGCGGGCGGCAACCGACCATACCGCGGAACGCGGGCGGGCCGGCACTGTTACAAGAATGAAGCATTTATCATATATATATTTTCAAAAAAAAATTATACTGTTGTACTTAGAATTATACAAGGAAAATGCCTGTTTCAATTTCGTTAACCTACACGGCACGGTCTTGTAGGCATGCTGAAAAGCTAAAAAAGTACCATTTTCTGGAAAATTCGCCCTTTTGATACGCCATAATGGGGTCAACTATTGAACTAACAACATGAGAGCTGCTACCAATCGCGAGAACTCATCGACGCAAACCTGCCAGTGGTTTCCGCTAAGCCATGTGTTCATTAATTTGAAAACGCCAGGAGGTGGGGTTGCATTGCCTCTCTCTTTATCAGTCCGCGTCATGGAAAATGGCGAATCAGGGTAACTGTTAAGGGGGCAGATCAGGCCAGTTATGACCAGATCAGACCAGTAATGACGAGATCAGGCGAGTTATGACCAGATCAGACCAGTTATGAACAGATCAGGCCAGTTATGTTTTGTGGGAGACAGGCGCAAACCTTTTGACCCCTGCACGCGGGGACTCATCTGTGCTGTACATGTGGGGCCCAGTCGGGGCCCTCTCTTGGGGGCCTCTCGGCCCACTTGCGACAGGCGTATGCAGCCTACCGCGTACAAGCGGGGCGTCGCGGAGATTCAGGATAAAGCAAGAGAGGATACAAGGGTCGAATCGGCCAAAGGCGCCACATAACGACCAGAACGGTCCTGATCAGCTGTCATTATCACCTTTTACGTCAGATGCGGTACAACGGTCTCATCACGAGCACAACAGGGCCAAGGTCTGCCCCAAGGAAGTGTAAGGTGTGGTATTTTTGTTTGATGGATGCGTAGACTGTGGCGTTCACTCTTTGCGCCCCCCCCCCCCCCCCGGGAGTGTACACTCGCCATCACTACTCCTCACCATGATCAACAGCATGTTCAAGGACTGTGCCATCATTACTTTTCGCGGACGATGTGGCCATTTGGCCATATTTGGCTGCCCTATCAGGGCTGAAAGAATGGTACAGAAAGGCCTTAAGCACACTGAATCGCGGTGACAACAGCGGGGCTTCGCCTTGTCCACAGGCAATTCCGCCACAACCGCTTACTCCAAGTCGACCTTCCTGCACTGTCATCTTCAAACCAACGATAAGCAGCTTAAAAGCTTTGAATTCAGATTCAACACTGACGTCAGAGAAGTCTCCGCCGGGTGAGAAAAACGCACCAACATCCTCCGTACACTCGGCGCCGTGGACTGGGGAGGCGGCCGCAAGACGGTTCTTCAGCTCTACACGGCAGCCATCAGGTGGGTTATATCCTGCACAACTTTGCTTCTGCAACGGCGAATAATCAAGCAACGAAAATGTGAACACACCACATCATTTCTCCCGCAAGTATAGATGATAAGGACAGCGGCAGTCCTCCGGCCTCTCGTAACCCACCCTCGGGGACATTCCGGCGCACTCGTCGGGGGTGCGGCTCCAGGCAACCGACCGAAGATCAGAAACCTGAGCAGTCCTCCGGCCTCTCGTAACCCACCCTCGGGGACATTCCGGCGCACTCGTCGGGGGCGCGGCTCCAGGCAACGGGCCGAAGATCAGAAACCTGAGCAGTCCTCCGGCCTCTCGTAACCCAGCCCCCGGAACAGTCCGGTGCACTCGCCGGGGGTGCAGCTCCAGGCAACCGACCGAAGATCAGAAACCTGAGCCCGGGTGCAACAGCGCACTTTGCGAACTTGCTGTTCGGTTTGTACTGCGTCATCCACTCCTTTGCTGTTTGGCCGCTGTCACTGCCCTGTAGCCCACCTCCGCATCTTGTGTGAACACTTAACGTCACGTAAACAACTGACTTGCTTACAATATGATACACCTAACGTGAAGTGCTCACTTACCGCTCAAGCACATAGGATGTAGACTAAACAATCTTATCTTCTTTACAGGTGGCTGAAATGACTGATGGTCTGGAACGCCTTAACGCCTTAACGCCTGATACAGGCACCCACACATACGCACACGTCACCGTTTATATTCAAAGTTTCGGTCGACTTGAAAACGTGAGATCACTGTTGGCGTATGCGTTGACACTGATGTGGAGTGGGTGTTGGTGTGCGCGCCACGTGTGTTCACTACTGGCAAACAGGAGCTCTAGCCTGACAAGATTTATCTTGGCCTGACTCGCAAGGAGACTGGCACGGATGGGACTGATTTATCTTGGCTTAACTCGCAAGGAGACTGGCACGGATGGGACTGATTTATCTTGGCTTGACTCGCAAGGAGACTGGCACGGATGGGACTGATTTATCTTGGCTTGACTCGCAAGGAGACTGGCACGGATGGGACTGATTTATCTTGGCTTGACTCGTAAGGAGACTGGCACGGATGGGACTGATTTATCTTGGCTTGACTCGCAAGGAGACTGGCACGGATGGGACTGCTTTGAGTAACACTGCGACGCAACTAGTTGGCAGTCTGCTCCAGATATACCAAAGGTCGAAAACTCAGCACAAGAACTCTGAACCCACAGTTGCTCTCCTAGCCCAACCACTGATTGTTCTGACCGTGTTGCCACGCTTCACGGCTGTAGTTCACACCAGTGCAGTTCACACCGAGGCAGATGAAGAATCGCCGGCATATCTGGCCGTGTATTTCGAAAATTCGTGCCCTGCACTGTCCTAAAGTCTTTCCTGTTTAGATGACAAATGCAGATTCAGTTGTCGATGCAGAGAGGATAAAGAGATACGGTAAGCCAGTTTTCTCCCGCAATTCACGGACTTGATGAACTTTCACAATGCCACAATTTTACGACTTGAAGGAAGCCGGAGCAACGTTTATGTGCCATGCGCAGCGCTTACGTCTGCTCTTTGAAGCGGCGCCTGCGAACAGCCCCGGCTCGCCCTTCTTCTGATGGACCAGTGGCAGCACGCCACCCACGGCTGAACTCGCCGCTGATTGGCTGCCCGCAGGCTGGGGGCTGACGCAGCAGGGGGGCTCAGCTGGCCTTCACGAGCGTGACGTATGAGCGTACGCAGGTGCCTTGCAGACGAACGGCCGCTTCACCCTCTCGCAGTCGATGTCGTTCCACTCACCGAAACCGAACACCACCTGTCGGTAGAGCGGAGAATCAAAGGGAATGTTTCACGTTCGAAGATATTAAAGCAACCATCAGATATGATGAAACAAGGTCACTTATAACTATTGGCAACTTTTTAAGTGAAAAACTGCTTTAGACAGCACAATTCTCTTTTTTGGAAACATGCTCCCAAATGCGTCATGATTTGATTGCGTCATCGTACCTTGCACAACATTGATTAAGAGCCAATTGACGCAAACATCAGGTATAAACGCCCCGACAGTTATACTTTTCTTGGCCTTGATCACCGTATGGCTTATGACATGGCAGAACCCGAATGACGTTGTTATGACGCCACGAATGCCAAAGTGACTTTAACATGCTCCCCCCGATATACCTCTCTCCATTTTGCTGGCACGTAGCTCAGAAACTAAATGGGCTTTGGTGTTAAGAAGGACCTGATTACCCACAGCGCCGAAAGGTCTTTCAAGATGACTAATTTAGTTCAAAGCACCATATGAGTGTGGAACACGCCCTTTAATGCTGCCCAGTTGTCCTAGTGCCTTCCCACACATCAGTGGCACTATGTAGCGCACCAATCCTCTCGAGGGGTATTTCATGGGCCTGTCGGGAGTGAGGATGAGAGCAGACAAATGCCCCCCTGCGGCTCCCTAACACTCACGAAATTGTCTCTGCATGTGGCATGTCAGTGAGCAAGCTTTAACTGCGCTTTACTTGACTGAGAATGGTGCTTGACTGTTCGCCCCTCCCTCATCTCAGGAAATCTTGCCCTGATTCACGTCACGTCATACTGACGTGAATCAGGACAAGTGACGTCACGTACATACAGACATAATGACGTCACGGCATACTGCAGTGTGAGGCACCAGATCCTGCGTAAAGTCGGGAGTGTCTGGGGAAAACGTAGATCCTGCGTAAAGTCACGCGTGTCTGGGGAAAACGCAGATCCTACGTAAAGTCACGCGTGTCTGGGGAAAACGCAGATTCTGCGTAAAGTCACGCGTGTCTGGGGAAAACGTAGATCCTGCGCAAAGTCACGTGTGTCTGGGGAAAACGCAGATCCTGCGTAAAGTCACGCGTGTCTGGGGAAGACGCAGTGACAGCGATTCCAAGAGAGAGAGAAACACCCGTGTGAGTTAGAAGTGCTGTTTTCGGGAAGTCCAGTCCCGAAGTCAAAATACGGCCGCGTTGTCCGTTCAAAAAGTGCTTAAGGAACCAGGCTATGCAACAGTTCCCACGTCAGAAACAACTACTAGCTACGACTTACAACCTCAGCCGCTATCAGCGCCGCCGTAACTCAATCAAAACAATCGACAATCAGTCGAACAAAATAAAAACAAATCAAAATGATCGTAGTTCAGGTGTGTATCACAGGTTTGTGTGGAACATTTGCAAGTACGATTCACATCGATATCCGCTAATCTTGGCATCACTAAGCGCGACGAAGGCCACCTGGTCGGATGGTAAGCGGAAACGAATTGCAACATGGTAACTCATGAGCATCGCAGGGTCGTCTGAAGACTTTTACATCGATTCCCTTTCAATCTTCTATCGATGTTTTGCAGGATAGAAACTTTCTATCTCATGTTTGAAAAAGTACTTTCTGGTGTGCTCTATCAACAGCCTGTTAATGTTCCAGAATTAAGCTTTTTTTAAATCTGCGCCCGGTTGGGAGTTTGAGACAACTGCGTCCGGCCGGGGGGGGGGGGGGGGGGGGTTGATTTCCCGCTGGGATCTCCCACTTCTAGACGTTGCACGGGAAAACACAAAGATAGTCGACCGTAAGTGCACCAGAAGTCACAAAAGGAAAACAGGTTGTCCTGAAAGATGAAGTTAAACATATGTTAAAGGAAATGTTTTACATTTGAAGATATTACAGGAAGGGTAAAGTATGATGCAACAACCTCCTTTATAACTATTGGTATACTTTAAGTGGAAAAGATTGCTCTTGACAACACAATTTCTCTTTCGTAGATATCCTCCCCGATACGTCACTGTTTGATTGCATCATCGTACCTTGCACAGCAGTGATTGATATTCAGTTGGCGGTCGTTAGATCTCGAAATCGTGCCCACCAAGCAAGATATGAATGACTAGACCACTATTTTTCATCATCTTGATCGTCGCATGGCTTGTGGAATTGAAAGATTTGAATGCCATAATTATGACGTCATTAATGTTAATATGACCTTGAGATACCCCCCTCGAAACAGTCTCCCCATCTTCGCGGCGTGCGGCTCAGAACCCAGTGGGGTTAAGGTCTTAAGAAGGGCCGTTAACGTTCTTAACGGCACGTTAACGTTCGTAACGGCACGAACCGAACGGCGGTGAACTGCACCAAATGATCTTCCAAATGGCCACATATCATTTCAAAACCCAGTAAAAGTGTGGAACACTTCCTTTAATGCGTCAAGACGGATACTGAAGGCACATAAGTTAGCGTTAATAATGTGGGGGTCCGTTTTGGCGCTTTTCGTTCCTCACAGTGGTCAGGTCAAGTTACGCCATCGTTCAAAACCGACAAACAAGCCAAACAGTGCCATGAAACGGGACAAATGTACGAGCGACAGCGGTAGGATGTTCCCCGCTCGTAACGCGGAGTCGGACGGCGATGGGGTCATATCCGCATAGCGAATGTAGCCACGTTTGGTGTTGACACTCATATTGATTCATTCATTTCCAGCAGCGTATAACTACATTTGACTCATACTGAGCAAGACACGCTTTCAGAAACGCGTGGAATGTGGGTCAAAATTCGCCAGCTCTCTTGCCTGAGCTATGCAAAAACGAATATTCAGTTCGGCAGCTAACGCTGATGGTGCAACCGTATCTATATAACCCATGTACGCGCTTACCTGGAATTAATTTTTAACAAGCATTGACGTAGAAAAAGCACGTCTTCGAGTGAGGGTCAATTTGACCTACAAATGTTTTTTCCGAAAGAACTTCTGCACTAAAACCTTATCCAGCTTTGGACAATTTAATCGCTGGTCTTTTGACAAAAAATCATCGATATGTTCTTGGCCTATAGGTGATCAGTTAGGTTTTTCCGGAAGGAAATTTCTATGGAAACTCACCATATGATGCGACAAAGAACTGTTAGACGAGTTCATGCAACTTTGGAATGTTTTCTTACGCAATGAAACAGTTACTGTTGATTGAGGTCATAGCTCTCTATCAATATGACACATATTTTTATACGCAACTAACCCCTCTTGTAGATCTTTGCAATACTGATCGGTGCACCATCGTTACCTGACATCCATGTTCTGACAGTGACCTGCAACGAAACCAACTCCTTTTCTGGAGCCCGAGTTCAAATCTTGCACGAAGCGTAACTGTTTCAGTGGAGCTGTTGTGAACGGGAGTGTTCAACATTTGTATGAGGTTTTTAATGGAAATAGCCATCTTGAAGAACATTCGGTGTACTTCGAAGCCCTGCCCTTCTTAAGAACTAAAATCCCCCGGTTTCTGAACTACAAGCCTGCGAAAATATGCAGACAATTTCAAATTCACTTAGACATGCATAACACCGCATAATCATCCTTCAAATACTGCCATCCCATTCGGCACGCATCGCTCAAGGCTAAGAAGAATATAATCTCGAGTCATTCATGTCTGACGTTCGTGATCGCGCTTTACCAGATAAAACAAACTTTAAATGGATCTCGATCAATGTTGTGCAGGCAGTGCAGTTCAAACACGAATCAGTCACGGTACAGATTTAAACAGCACGTTTTGCACTACATGATAAAGATGTTACGGAAACACGACTTGAAATCGAACAAGAATAACGCCATAAGCGTGTATGTGAACATAAGTAGAAATTCAAACTCCCCGGCAAGTTTTCAAGAACACAACGAGGGCCAAAACACGAGCCCATAACGATACTTGTTTCAGCAAACACGTTCAGCACCACCACTGCCATCTCGTGGTGAGCTAAAATGCTACTAGTGAGTGTTAGGGTGGCAATTTTGCACGGCCAGTTTGGCCGTACCCCTGATATTATGCAAACGTTCCGTGACGCGATCAAACGATGATGGATTAAGAGGCATATTTGCTAAATGGAGAAATTATGTAGCTTAGAGCAGTCTTTCCCACCTCCAGGTATACCTATGGTTAGGAGTGGGCTCAGTTCATCAAATATGATGCTTTCTTCAATGAAATCAAATGTTGAATATTCCCTTTAAGACCGATGTGCGAGATCGACACGAAAATGACCTGTTGCAGCAATACAAATTACCCTTGAATATATGTCTGAATTACCTGATGAATGACATCTGAACTGAACTGAACTGAATGCTTACCTGAACTGACCCGGCGTCAGCCCACTCACTATCAGCCCATCAGCCCAGGTGTCATCCACCGCCGCTATCAGCCCATTAGGCCAGCGACCATCACCATCACCGCGACGTAAGCCCAGTACGCCCATCCATATCATATCATCCTACCGCATTCACCCAATCACCTACCGTCTGATCTATACACCAATCACCTGGTCATCTACCGTCTGATCAAAACACCAATCACCCGATCACCTACCGTCTGATCTATACACCAATCACCTGGTCATTTACCGTCTGATCTATACACCAATCAGCCGATCACCTACCGTCTGATTTAAACACCAATCAGCCGATCACCTACCGTCTGATCTAAACACCAATCACCCGGTCACCTACCGTCTGATCTATACGCTAATCACCTGATCACCTACCGTCTGATCTGAACACCCATCACCCGATCACCTACCGTCTGATCTATACACCAATCACCTGATCACCTACCGTCTGAATTAAACACCAATCAGCGGATCACCTACCGTCTGATCTAAACACCAATCACCTGAATCCCCTACCCTCTGACTATACACCAGATAACTCGATCACCTACCGTATGATCTATACACCAATCACCTGATCACCCTACCGTCTGAATTAAACACCATCAGCGGATCACCTACCGTCCTGATCTAAACACCAATCCCTGATCCCCTATCCTCTGATCTATACACCACAACTCGATCACCTACCGTCTGATCCATGCACCAATCACATGGCCTTAAGTTACGTGCCCAATGGCCTATACCTTTGGGGCACCGTTGCCGTGAACTCCCAGCGCAGATGACCTGAGTTTGCGGTCGCGCCTACCCTGACTCGGTGACCTGAGATGAGGGCCGCGCCTGCCCGGAGCTCGTGTGACCTGAGATGAGGCCGCGCCTACCCGGAGCTCGGTGACCTGAGGTGCAGCAGCGCCTGCCCTGAGCTCGTGTGACCTGAGCTGAGCAGCGCCTACCCTGAGCTCGGTGACCTGAGGTGCAGCGCGCCTGCCCTGAGCTCGGTGACCTGAGGTGCAGCAGCGCCTGCCTGAGCTCGGTGACCTGAGGTGCAGCAGCGCCTGCCCTGAGCTCGGTGACCTGAGGTGCAGCAGCGCCTACCCTGAGCTCGGTGACCTGAGGTGCAGCAGCGCCTGCCCTGAGCTCGGTGACCTGAGGTGCAGCAGCGCCTGCCCTGAGCTCGGTGACCTGAGGTGCAGCAGCGCCTACCCTGAGCTCGGTGACCTGAGATGCAGCAGCGCCTACCCTGAGCTCGGTGACCTGAGGTGCAGCAGCGCCTACCCTGAGCTCGGCGCAGTCCTCGCCGTCCGGGCCGCCGTAGAGGACCGAGTTGGTGGGCTCGCCCAGGCTCCACTTGACCAGGTTCAGTGGAGTGCCATCCGTCCAGACGAACTGACCCTCATGCGCCTTGTCGGTCAGCCCTGCTCGTGCAACCGGGAGACGGATACGGACAGAACGCACGCCGACAGAGAAAGCAGGGACCGACACTGCCAAGTCACTGGGTACAAGATCAAGAAAGTGAAGGGGCAAAGGAGTTAAGGGATATCCGGGCAACGACCGATACATCATGAGAAACTAGCGAAGGATGGACGAACAAGCAGACTAGTGGGCAAAAGAACAGATCGTGAACAGTACAGACAGGCGCACGAACAGCACAGAAGCTCACAAAGAGCGAATGAACGACAAAACAGTGGGTCACAGGAGGTGGAGGAGAAAAGAGGACAAACGCACGGCGATTGATAAGAAGCGGGAACACAATCTGAGCAGGGACGACACAATGAAAAACAAATGTTACGTTTTGAATGATGAAGATGCGGAAAATCAGTATCGAGAAGCTCGAGAGACGCGTCTGAGCCTGAACCACTTCATGAACTGGGGAATGAACACGGACAACTGTAGAAAGAATAGAACTGCCAAAAGAAAAGCATTTATTAGATAAGGTGATGACGTTGCAATAGCCGGAGTAGCCGGAGCATGCTTAATGGAGCATGCTTCGAGATGACGTGCATCGCGTTATAGCCCCTGTGCCAGCACAACAGAGCGCCCTTGAAGGCTTTTCTGAAGTCGGCTTTGCAGGTGTTACTCGTGCTGGGTCCAGAGTAAGCTGAGCTCAAGCGCCGATAGCACACCATTGTGTTTCAGTGAAGCTGAGGCATGCATGTGCAGCTATGCAGGTGGAAGCCCGGGCACGGTTGTAAATTACATATTGGTGCCGAAGCCATCAACCCCAACGGCTGGCTCCATTCATTTCCCAAGTGGCCGTAACGCTGGGCGTAAGTGGCAGTGGTTTCTAGGTCTGTATATAAAGCACACAGAGCGATAATGTTCATGATTGGAGTATGCATTAATGCATCCCGACCATTGGTTATGGTAGGCGCCAGTGACAGTCTAGAGTCTCTGGCACGATTGCATCTCTGTTATTTACGGCCATTTTGCTGGCACGTATTATCAGTCACTTTCCAGTTTATCATTTTGCGGGGTCGTATTGACCCTTCTTAGGGCGTCGATTTGTGTTCTTTTGTTAGGCCTGTCCACATGTCGGTCTGTGCCACCCAGTGTTGGTTTGGGCTCTTCAACGTTGGCTTGCGGGCTCCAGTGTTGCTTTGCGCCCTCAACATCTTTATGGAATATTACAAAAAGGTGGAGGAATCTTAACATCGCTCAAGGTCTACGCTCGTTAGACACTTTCTGCTAGCCATGACCACTTTGCTGACGCGGATCACGTCAGGGTAAAATACCTCTTCAACCGTGATTATTCGTGATTCAGCTCTGATTACAGTCTCCGTTAGAGAATTACCTTGTAGACCAGATTAAACGCCGAAATCACCTTTCTACTTTAGCTGGCCCTAAGTGTACCCAATTCGGGTCTAGTCGGCAAGTTTAGCTAGGACTCACGCGCTTAAACATCCGGCAAGCTTCGTTTTCTACTTGGAGTCACACAAATCATAAATTGGTATCTTTACCTTTGTTTAAGGTGACGAAGTCGCTGTTTTGTCTTCCATTGTTTTTGATGCATTCCACTTACCGACCCGGGCCCTTGCTACTCAATACTCAGGTCCTCTACGAAGAAG